TGAGGGGGGCAGGGGAGAGGGGGACGGTGAGCTGCCAAGGGTGGATAAGGTCGAAAGGGGAGGCGGGGTATAATCAGTTGCCACCGCACTGGATTATGGGGCGAGACCCGCGTCGTCCCGTCGAGGTTAGACCCTTGAAATGCACCACGGATACCTCCGGCAAAACTGCTTTCCTCTCTTTTCTAATCTCCGCCCAACCCGGAATTCCGCGCGTCCGTTCGACGAAGTTGCCGAGATTCTTCGGGGAAAGTTGACACTTGGGGCGGTTACGCGTGGAATTTCGTTGCAGTTTCAAGATGAACGATGCAAAAGTAACGATCACGCTTCGGGCCAATTTTATATCAATGCCGTGAATTTTGGGTACTTACGAGTCTCGTTCTTAAGTTTAGAATCGAATGGGTTTTTAAGCGGAAAGTGGGTTAGATCGCGAGTAAATTGTTTTTGGAAATATTTGTACAGCGTTGGTATACATTTGCAACTTCGAATCTGTGGTATGAAACTATTTTCTAGCGTATCCTGGGTTTTTTCTTAGGAAGTGACGTTACTCTTTCTTATCAGTTTTTTTTACCAGTGATTTAGTGTGCTATGAAGCTGTTATCTCAAGAATTAGAGAAGGAACGTATATAAAATCCCTTTAATTACAGCGCGTCAATTTTACCGGTGAAGTGTAAAATCCAGCAACGTACACTCTACCGAAGCAATGTACGCATTGCCGCGAATTTACCCAAACTTTTCATTTCTTATCTTATTTTTAAGATTTTCTTTCTTCGTTTGGCAACTTTTCCCCAAAAGACTTTACTCCTCACAATCTTTATTATTCATTTAAAGCATTATTTTTCATGCTCTCAACAAATTTTCAACGACCGCAAGGCGAACCTACCCCAAACTAATAATCAAAACTTTGCCTAAATCTGTGTTAAAGACAAAGTCTAAAACGCCATTTTCAAATCGTTACCCATTAAGCATTGCTTAGACAGAGTGTACATTGCCCAGGCTTCGCACTTCCCCGGCAAAATTAACAATTCGTCCCAATATTTCTGTACAACATCAACAGCCCTCGAACGATAATCACATCGAGCTCTCCTCCGAAGCTCATCGTAGCTCCTTCAGAACGCAATAAACCTTACGAAGCAATAAAACCCCTGAAAAAAAAAAATACATACATCTCAAGGATCGGTCATCCCGTTCTTCCCCATAAGTGAACGTCGATTAAATTCATCAGTCCCCGATCGTTCACGAAATCGCGACGATGGTAGTCGAGTAAACGGACAGACGCGAGGACTTATCGTTCGTATGAAGACAGAAGAGAAGTCGTGGTTAGACGGAGGCTGGGAAAATACGAAAGGCAGTAGGATTCCGGGGGGCCGTGCCGGGTGAATTGCACTCAAGTCCGCATCCGTTGGCTCGGTTGGCCGGCAATATCGCGGCTACTCAAGGGCCATCGAGGTTTTTCGAGGCTTCTCTCATAGCCCGGCGGTAGTTGGTTCATCTACGAGACTACGAGGAGACGAGAGAAAAAAGCAGAAGCAAACTGCTCTCCTCTCTCGTGTTCTGATCCGCGTATATTCCTTCTGCCTCCTCCTCCTCGTGCTGCTGCGCCTCTTCCTGCCTCTTTCTCCACCGACCGGCGCGCGGTGCCGCGAACTTTTCGCCATTTTTTTTTCTCTCTCTCATATGTCGCTATCACGCCCGCTGTACGTACACACGGGGAATCCCTCCCTCTCTCTCTCTCTCTCTCTCTCATTCTCTCGGCCGAGCCGAGAAGGAAAAGTTGCCGAGCGCAATAAAACTTTCCGGTTGCTATCCAGAGCTCTGTAACGACGCGACGCAGCGATTGCGTTCTGGCCCACGCTCGTACCCTGGATGTCCGGAGCAACGCTGGATGTTCCCAGCCTTGCAGATTAAACCGCTTTCCGTCGTTCTGTCCTCGTTATTATCGCCGGAGGAAATTTTTTATCGAAACTTTGTCACGGGGTGCGCTCGTCGTTCTTTGGATACACCGGGTGTGTCTCGTGGCGGGTGATTCTGGGGGAACGAATAAGTTGAGAATGGGGAATAGAATTTTTTTGTGTCAGGCTTCGGTTTTGAGAAAATCGAGTTTAAGTGTTTGTCGTGATCAGTGTTGGTAATGTGTTTATTGTCGCGTTTCTTAATTTTAATTTACGTTACCGAATGAATTGTTGGAAGTGACATTCTCGTTAACGCGTGGAAATCCTTGATCTTTGAGTCAGAGGATCGTGGACCGACGATACGGAATTTTGACGTTTTAATTTTAAAGCTTTTCTACGATTCTTTCGTTTACCCGGAGAGGATTGACTTTCTTAATTTTAATTTACACTACTGAGTGAATTGTTGGAAGCGACATTCCCGTCAACGCATAGAAATCCTTGATTTTTTAGTCGGAGAATCGCGACCTCGCGATATGGAATTTTGACGTTTTAATTTTGAAGCTTTTACGATTCTTCCACGACACTATTTCTTTACGAAATGTAAAATTACCGCTAATTATCAGCACTACTGATCGAGAGAATCTTCGAACTCAATTTTCTCGAAAACCGAACTTTCCTAAAAAAAATATTCCGCATTTTCCGTTTATTTTTCATTGAAAATCACCAAGGACCTTTGTCACCATTTTTATCGCTTCTTACGGGACACCCGGTATATCAGTGTCGAGGATACGAACGAAGGAGGTCTAGCTAAAAAATAACTAATTACAATAATCACACACGGTCATCCATTGTACGACGTTGCAAATGGGCGCGCGATTAGTCGATCGATTAAGAAAGCATTGGAGAAGGTGCGGGCATACGAGAGACGAGCAATCGTGTTCAGAGTGTCTCATTGTGTTGATGTTGTTCGGTGCAGTATGAATATGAGGCGGCACTCTTTGAATTTCGCGCCTCGGCCCGCCCCCCGTGGTCGCGATGGCAAGGAGCTGATACAGTGCCCCACGTCGTCCTGTGATGGCATGGGTCATGTCTCGGGAAACTACGCTACCCACAGAAGGCAAGGCAGCATTGACATTGACACTGACATTTTACATTCCGACGATGACATCCCGTTGTGTATCATTTATATATTGATATAGCGATGCAGCACGCAAGCACGCACGCTGAACATCTTACACAGACACACATACATACAGTGGGCGATGAAATTATTAGAGCCCCAGTACGAGAAATATGTTTTTTGGGTCTGTATAGAAGTAAAATCACAATATCAAGGTTTTTACTCTGAATAATTTTTAATTGAATTATTCAGGTAGGAAGTTAAACTTAGCTTATTTAGCTGTGAAAGATACAGGTGAGAAGTGACAATAAGTAGCGCCACTTTTTGCTGCAATTACCGCCTTGATACATTTTAAGTAATTTACTGTAGACTATAAGCAGTGAAAATACGATAAGAAAAATTCAAATGCTCGTGATCTATAAATCAATGAAACTGTAACACGCAGTTGCCAATTTGCGACTGGCAGCACCTACTCATGCAAAATAACGTCGATATGGCGGATAATATTGCCTAAAGTGTTGCCAAGTGTGTAACTAGGCTTTCGTCTAAAAATTAATTAATTCTTTGCAGGTGGCTCTATTAATTTGATCACCCACTGTAGTATACGGTACATACACACACATTACCATTGGAAACTTACACACGATTATTTCCTGGATCCTTGTTACGTGAACCTGAAGCAAAATTCCTTAAGTAGCTCGGTTCCCATGTTTGAAAATTTCGTTCCATGAAACACACAAGTCGACATATCTCCCTATACGAACACATCCAGACATTCAGTGCGATCTCTCACGAGAAATGGGAGAAAATAACATAGATGGGGTTTTGCATCGTTTTGCATATTGGTGGTCCGTGGCGTAGTGGCTTCTTAAGTGTTTTGTGACACTATATCATTTTGTCTAGAGTACCCATATCACCACCCCCCTCATTTCCTGGCTGATACCTCTCTTGTATACTCTACCTAATCGATATTGTTGTATATCTATTATTATTATATACGTGTGAACATTCATTGGTATAAATAGATATTTTGTTACATTAAGCGTACGATGTGACACAATTTTTCGTTTCTTTCTTTCGTTACATCTCTACGGTCTGTCTTTATCTTTCTTTTTTTCCAGCTCCGCTCTCCTTTCTTCATTTTTCTCTCTCTGTCTCTTTGTGTAAACCTTTTTTCAGATTCAATATTCTATCCTCTACCATCCACTTGTCCAAATTGTTCTCCCATTTTCTTATTACGTTATCGTACGATATATATTACTATAACCAGAGTGTGTAGATGAGTTTCGTGTTGAATGAAATACCATTTGCTCCCTATTTTCGACCCGACCCCTACGAAAAGGGATGGCAAAATCATTAAGACGATCACGGTGAAGAGCAGCTTCGTATCTCGAAGTATACGCGCGTCTACGATGCTTCCACCAGTTTATCTTGAGCTGTAACTGTAATTAACCCTTTCGCTGCGGCAGGTTTTGATACGCGAGAAATCTTTCGTTTTGGCGTTTTAAAATTTTTTTAAAATTCTGAAGTTAAAATTTTTCAATTTGTCATTTTATTGAATTAAGATGAAAGTGCGCTAAGCGCAAAAATTATGGATTAAATTAAGACCGAAAGTCGCCAAGGGCACAGCGCGAGAAAATATTCGCAGCGCCTATAGGCGTTAAAATCACAGGGCGAAAAAATATTTACTGCGCCTATGAGCGTTAAAAGTACAGAGCGAAAAAATATTCACAGCGCCTATAGGCGCAAAAGTCAGCGCGAGAAAATATTCACAGCGCCTATGGGCGCAAAAGTCAGCGCGAGAAAATATTCACAGCGCCTATAAGCGCCAAAGTCAAAACGCAAGAAAATATTCGCAGTGCCTATAGGTGTCAAAGTCACAGCGCGAGAAAATATTCACAGTGCCTATAGGCGCCAAAGTCAAAACGCAAGAAAATATTCGCAGCGCCTATAGGCGCAAAAGTCAGCGCGAGAAAATATTCACAGCGCCTATAGGCGCTGAAGTCAGCGCGAGAAAATATTCACTGCGTCTATAGGCGTTAAAATCACAGAGCGAGAAAATATTTACAGCGCCTATAGGCGCCAAGGACACCGTATGAGAAAACATTCACTGCGCCTATAGGCGCAAAAGTCAGCGCGAGAAAATATTCGCAGCGCCTATAGGCGCTAAAGTCGCAGCGCGAGAAAATATTCACAGCGCCTATAGGCGCCAAAATCAAGACGCAAGAAAATATTCGCAGTGCCTATAGGTGTCAAAGTCACAGCGCGAGAAAATATTCACAGCGCCTATAGGCGCCAAGGACACCGTATGAGAAAACATTCACTGCGCCTATAGGCATCAAAATCACACCGCGAGAAAATTTTCAAAGCGCCCATAAGCGCCGATAGCAGTGAAAGGGTTGACATTCATTTTCGTACGCATCTCTCTCTATATATTTATGTATTTATACAATATCACCAAACCCGCCCGTTTAACAACCGCTTCGCCAGCCTCGAGTGGGCAGCTTCGTAGCGAACTGTTGCCAATGACCATGTCAGAGCAGAACTGCAATACAAAAAAAAAAAATAATACCAGAAGTAACATAAGTGCACCGTATTCGGCAACGTGTTGCACACATCTTTGAAATATTCCAAATACAAAGAAGGACAATTGGCAATTGACGAGTTTCACTGGGGTCAGGTGTGAGTGTGCTCCCTGCTCTCCCTTTCAGTGTTCCTAGAGTTAAGGCTAACCTTGTATTGACATGAACCTGAAACGCGATCGATCGTACGAGCGACACCTCATGAGTGATCCAACTGGAACACGGCGTTGCCATTTGCATGCTATCATATATATATACATCTATCTACCTAATTATTATACATCGTTGATTGCCCGTTTCGATTATGCGTCCACCAATTAACTCGACTAGCCTCAGGGAATATACCCGCTGTTCCGATCTAAGAGACTCAACTCGATCATTTTTTGAAAAAAATCATCCTCGAGAGGGAATGGGTCGTTTCACTAAACGAATCTCCCTTATTCAATGTCTTCGTTCGAACTGGACGCAAGGCAAGTCGTCCAAGTATAAATCGTGCTTAAGGGCTGCTTTCATTTTAAAACGATCTTAATCTATAAGCACCCGATACTCTAGACGATCTCGGTGAGCGAAAATATTTCCTACTTTCGATCGACGAATCGCCAAAATTTTTGAAATTTTCTATTTTCTATGGAAGTTCAATTTGTCAAATGAAATCTCATCGAGGTCTTCTTAAAAAAGAATGTTTTAATAGTACCCGAATACTGTACCTGGTTCCGGACGTAAGTACTCGAGACTTCTTGGCAACGTCGCGTAATTTGCATGCGATGTGTTGCTGAAGCCATCGTTGGATGTTTCTGAGGTGTACGTTCGTGATCCTGGCCATGATGATTGTTGCGCTATCGCGCTAACTCCGACGGAACTTTCCTCGACTAAAAGATGATCGTTGAAATATTGTACTCGTTATCTATGTAGAAGAAAGTAGCGCAAAATCGTCATGGTATACGTGGAATGGGTCTAAAGAAGAGAAACTTTTGTTCAATTTACAGCCTGTCCGGTTGTCCGCGAGCCGATCGTTCCCAGATCCAAGCACACTCTCAAGAACTGAAGTGTCCTACGCCGGGATGCGACGGTTCAGGCCACGTAACCGGCAATTATTCATCTCACAGAAGTTTGTCCGGTTGTCCACGTGCTAACAAACCGAAGAGCAAGCCTCGAGACGGACAAGACTCGGAACCATTGAGGTTTGTCATCGTCTGACCCTTCTTTCGTTCTCTCCGTTCCTCGAGATAGGGTAATTGCGGGAGAGATGGACCAGGCAAGTATTTCCTACGTTATCCGCCAGATATGGAAGAGAAAACACTGAGAGCCAAGCTCGATCGCTTTCCGTAAAACAAATGTAAAACAAAAGAATACTGACGCGTTCCGCATATGGCGGATAATGTAGGAAATGCTTGCCTGGTCCGTCTCTCCCGCCGATTCATCTCTCCCGGAATTACCCTATGCACCTCGAATTAAGACAAAATTACCTAACCACCATTTCGAATCGACCAATCTAAACTCCTAATTTTCGTACCTGTGTGTGCACACGTGGGATCGCGTTGCATCTACTAGCAAAATTCGCAGAAAGAGTAATTAACGTTCGAGAGTTAACGTGAAATCAACGCAATTGACTCGTGGCTGATTTGATCAAGATTAGAGAGAAAGATGGAATGGGATTAATTGAGAGGGGGCGGGGGGGAGATTCTAGTCTCTTGCGAACTGTGCAACTTGTGTGTTACACGTAATCGCGATCTCAATTTAAGCTTTCACCGCGTTCGCACGTTGCACGCAGGGCTACGTGGGTATCTTCCTGACCGCATTGCACGTACTAAGATCTGGTAGACCGAAAAGGGCAGCCCCCATCCCTTTCAAAGGCAGACGGTGTGTCCCCTTTAAACCCTATCCGCGCCTTCCTCTAACGTAAAAGCGAAGACGCTGACTAATAACCAGCGGTTTCCGCTCATTTCATGCTCACTCTCTCTCTGTACGGATGGATTGCACGGTGTTGGGTAATGGTGGTGTTGGCATTTCGGACTACAGATGTCCAATCCCCGGTTGCGACGGGTCTGGCCATGCCACTGGCAAATTCTTGTCGCATCGCAGGTAAGATTTCCTGGCGATTTCTTGTGGCAAGTTGAATATCGATTAATTTATTTTTTCTGAAAGGATATATATTGTATAGCAGTTTTGTAGTTGATTGGAATGTAGATTGTTCTTTTTTTTCTTTTTTTAATTAGGTTATTTATTAAGGACTGTCGTAACTGTTACATTTATTATTCTTGTAACTTGACGAATGTGGAAGATTATTTTTAATTTTTCTTTTCGGTATTGAGAATATTTTTTGGTAAGATTAAATTATCGAGTGACGATGAATTATCTTGTTGGGTGGTAATTTGGTTGAATAAATTTTTGACGCGTCTCAATTTGGAATGATTGAAGCTTGATCGAGTTTTATCTTGGAAGACATGGAAAACTTAAGTTTTCCTAATTTCTGCAATTTCGAAATGATTACTTGTGCGAAATAGGTAGGCTTGTTAGAAAAAGACAAATGTTTCGAACTTTACGAATTACCGTGAAATACTAAGCGTGACTAAATAAATTTCAATAAATGGCTCTTTGGAAGTGAATTTTTGCTATTGCGTTTCAATCTCAATTAACATTAACACTAATTGATACTTATATCTCAGAAGACGTAGAAAGGTTAAATTTCCCCAATTTCTGAACTTCTTGGGAAAACACTTACGTTTCGAAATTTATAAAATAACGCCATCTTAGTTACTGGAAAATCTGAAAGTTGACCAAATCAAATTTTATAGAAATCAATTCTTACTGTCGCGTTTCAACCCTTCAAAAAGGTCAAACCTTAATTAATATCGACGCCAACTGATATTTACACCTCAGAAGATTTAGAAAGCTTAAATTTTCCCAATTTCCGAATTTCTTGCAAAAACACTAATATCTGAAAATTCACAAAATAACGTCATCTTAATTACAAAGAAATATTAAAGGCGACCAAGTGAATTTCGATCAAAAATTTCTTAAAAATCACTTTTTCCTGTCGCGTGTCAACCCAAAAGGCTTCAACCCCAGTTAATATTAACACCAACTAACATCTACACTACCGTGCATAAGTATTTGGACACTATGCAGGAAATATACTTGAAATAAAACTCTCTAATATAGTTTTGGCTTGCGATCTTATCCCAGGCGACCCACACAATGTTTATGAATACCAATGAAAATAACATTTGACATGAATTAGTACAAATGAAAAAGCAATAACTGAAATCGTTGGAGTGCGTCGACTTCAAGTGTTTGTCGAAAATTTCATTGTGCCAACGGTGAAACATGGGGGTGGTAATGTAATGTTTCGGTGCAAATAAAGTGGAGAATTTAGTAAGAATAGATGGAATTCTACGAAAAGAAGAATATTTCAATATTTCAGGTGAACACGTAGACGAACGCAATATTTAATTTGTTGGTAAATTTATGACCATGTACTACGTCCTAGATCTTCTACACCTCAACGACATTCATTGTTGCTAATTATAAGTAGAAATGTCGCAATATAGTAAAGACATATGAACCTTCAATTAGATCGCGTCGAGTGTCCAAATGCTTATGCACGGTAGCGCATATCTCGGAATACCGCAGAAAACTTAAGTTTTCCCAACATTTTTCATCTCGAGACAATCACTTCCCACGAGAAACCCACGCTTCGTATAAAAAAAAAAAGACAAACGTTTGCGAAATTGCCGAAACAACATCATCTTAATTGCGACCACAACGACTTGTTGCAGCGCATCGGGCTGCCCCATTGCGAACAGGAACAAGACGCGAGTATTAGAATCCGGAGGTACTATGGAGCAGCACAAAGCAGCGGTTGCCGCAGCGACGGCGATGAAGTTCGAAGGTGTAAATTGTCCGACGCCGGGGTGTGACGGGATCGGCCACATAAACGGCTCCTTCTCCACTCACAGATCTCTGTCAGGTTGTCCGATAGCCGGGCACGCGGTGAAGAAGCCAAAGTTCGAGGACATGTCGAGCATGTACAGCAAAGGAATCAACGGTGAGGATCGACCTGCCTCTGATGTCGTTGACCACTTCGATTATCCATGCGCACCATTATTAATCGAGGAATGAGAGAGGAAGGAAAACGAAAAAAAAAAAAACAAAACAAAACAAGAAAAAAAAAACGAAAAAAAGTATACGAAAATAGGTTGGCTCTTCGTGAACGAGTCGACGAAAAATTGATAATTGAACAAGAAAATCACTGTTTAAAAATTCGAGGCCTCATTCACGTCGAGCTACGGACCTGATGTTGCGACATGTGATTGCCTACCAGAGATGGGGGTAGAAGCGAAAATTGTAGAGTAGGCATGATCATCGAAAAATTTGCCTTTCATTCTCTTCTCGTGTCACACTCGTCCAGTGTTCAACTTTTTTTCTCTTTCGTTGAATTTTGCATCGAAACTGCCCAAAAATTTCTTAACGAAACATGTAAGATCCACGATAGTATCGAGTGACGCGAGAACGATTTGCTACCTTTTTGGACGAGTCGATGGCAAACAAAAAAAAAAAAAGAAGGAAAAACAGAAAAAAAAGACCGTGACAAAATTTCTAAACGTTTATTTGTAACAACTTGTGCATATATAAGACCTTTATATACTTGATCCTATGCTATGCCATACTCTACTCTTCACGCAATGATGTGCTGTCATACCAACAAGAGTAACCTCGTCCTTTTTCTCCCGTCCCACTTCTACCCGTATATTCAGTTTACTTCTTTTTGGTCGTTTCTACTTAAAATGTTACGTTACGTTCTCGCTCTCCTTCGTCTCTAAATATTATATACATTGGCATCCAGGTGTTATTCGAGATTTTATTTGATTTCACATTTTCCACGTAGAGAGAACAGGGAGACAATGCACAGAGAAAAATATTCGATTGACCAGCGAGAAAGAAAGAGAGAGGAAAAAAACAAAAAAATAACGCATTCGAACTGGACACCTCGACTTTTCTTCCACCGTGTGTATGTTCACATTTGCTTCCTCCAATTTACGAATTTGGCCCCCCCCCGCGCGAATCTCCTTACTCCCACATTACTTATGTGCAAGAGCAAAAGAAAGATGTAAAGATCTCAAACGAGAAAAAAAAAAAAAGAAAAGAAAAGAAAAAGAAAAAAGCAACCGTATGTCATAATAATGAAAAATAATATATTCTGATTTATTCTGGGATCACGATCAGCTCCTTTCCTGTCATTGAGCTTTGAGGAGAACATTTACTTTTGAAGGTAAGGGACTGACGTACTCGCCATTTCTTTTCTATGTGTTTTCGGTGTTACATACAAGATCCACACACCAGTAATTTTACTTTTTACGAGATGACGTCCGAGTGTTGGCAACATCCGGTCATCGATACCGTCTAACGTTACATTACAAACGAAAAAAGAAAAAAAGAAAAATTTTGACAAGAATTTTTGTAGTGATAATAATAAAAAAAAAAAAAGAAAAAAGAACGACGATATTGAAAAAAGTAAACGAGCCAACACTCGGTGTCTCCCATTTTTTTCTTCTATCTGGTATGATGGCACCTCACGCTACCCCCCGATCACCCTAACATCGTCCCGGATCATTCTGTTTTCCTGCGGCACTCCTGTCAGGTTCGTGCGTCTGTGTCAATGATTTAAACGAGTCCACTCGTCTCGTGAAACCAAAAAAAAAAAAAAATGAACGGAAACAGAAAAAATTATCAGACGAGTAGACGAGCTCTCTTTTCCATCACTCCAGCACGAACCACTCGCAGAAGAAACCGTACCGATCCCACATTTCAGACAAATTCCTAATGCAGCGACTTGGGATACTTTCTAGAGTATACTAGCCTATATAGCAAGCGATCATTGTCGCGCGATAAAACGAGCTTACAATGTGACAATGTTACTCGTTTTACGAAAAAAAAAAAAAAGAAAAAAAGGAAAAAGAAAAAAAAAGAAAAACCGTTACCCTACTACCACAGGCCAACCCAAATCGCTGTCCGAAGCTTCCCTGGCGCTACTTACATACGCTCTCGCCACATTCTCACATATTTTATTGTATATGAATCCCGCACACCTGTCAAGAACTACGTAAACTAGTAATTATCTTTCTCTGTAACGTCGAGTCATTTCCGTCATAGAACGTGGACAGAGCTCTTGAACGAGCTTCGGTCAAGATATTGGGTTGATCAGACTTCTTAAATCAGCCTTCTTTTGGGGCTTTGCGATGATTTTCCTCGAGCGAACCTGCGTTCTTGAGACTGCTATATATATCCATCTAATCGTTATACGTAATATTAATTACCAACTGAAATGAACAGTTTAATAAAATAGTCTCGAGAACAGGGTTGAAAGCTGTTGAGAATCGAGAAAATCAAAAATAAAAAAAATATAAGGAACGAAAGAGTGAGACAGATTGTTAAAATGGACCGTGTATGTCCTATCTTCAGGAGTGGACACCAGTGGTCCGGCTCACGGGGGTGCGGTGGGTTCGGGTCAGGGTAACACGAGTGGTAGCGGTACCGCCAGTGGCCAGAGCGAGGATCTGTACACACTGGAGGCCGAGATCACGGAGCTCCAGCGAGAGAACGCTCGGGTCGAATCGCAGGTGCTGCGCTTGCGCTCCGATATCACCGCCATGGAGAACCAGCTGAAGCAAGGTGAAAAGGTCAGTACGCTTGTACTCAGTCGGTAATCGATTATTACCATGCGCTGATAGATATGGTAGAGAAACTTCCGGTTGCTAGCAATATAGGATATGATAAGAAATTTTTTGGGCTGAAACTTTCATGTACGAAACTGATCACGCTACTGCAACGTGCACATGGAACGTTGAACTGATTAGAATTTAAAGAAAGTACGGTGAAATAAGTACAAGTTTATCACGATTTCAGCCCAAATTGTAAGAAGTCTGTATCAATTGTTGTTAACGTAGAACACACTGCTGTCGTAGTAGTTTCCCTCCCTTCCAATAGCAGAGCTTAAAATTCTCTATATCCAAAATTTGTATGGTAGATATTACTGTTACTATCGGTAGATTTCTTTTTTTATTATCGTTAAAGTTAATCGATGCACGTTTACCACAGACCGATGTTTCTATTAAAAATGTTCCATTTTCTACAGGAAACAACGACGATTGCCCAGCGAAACAACAACCTGACCGAGTACTATCAGTCGCTGCGTGACAACATGATCACGCTGTTGGAGCACGTGCGAATACCGAACGCCCCGGGCGGACCGCAGGAGAAGATGGGCCACGAGAATTTCGACAGTTACCTGACGAAGCTGCAGACACTCTGCACCGCCGACGGTTACTGTGCAGACGAAACGAACAGGCCGATATACGAGACGGTGAAGACCGCGCTGCAGGATTTCACGGTCCTACCGACACCCATCTGAGACCATCCTTAAAGCTCGACGATCGGAAACAACGTAACACGGCCGCGTATCGCGCGTACCACTTCGTTGACGTTGTGACCATGCAAGAAGAAAATGTATTTACGTTACGTAACCAACGTAATAGACACAGAGGTTTCGCGTGGTTCGTCAACTATTGGACAAAGAGACATTCCTGTGCGATGAACGTGAACGAGATGAAAATCGTGTGTCGATAAAGAAGAGGGAGAGACAGAAAATTGTGTTAGGGTGCCGCCACTCGACGCAGTGAGAGGGTAAAATCGAAACGGACGATGCTTTTTACGAATTATCGGGTGATCTATGTTTGTGTACCAGGCGAAATAATGGTGCTTTCGTTACCGTCGACAGATCTCGTTTCGAGTCGACGGTGTGATGAAATTGGACACGCCGAAAGAAACGACGATTGTATAGACTGTTAGTAAATGTTAAAACAACGGTATCTAACGGTATCATCTGATGATCAATTCAGTGTGAACCCAGCAGAACCGTGCGGACTGACGTTGCTCATAGCGATATCTTTTGTATATAAATTGAGAACACGTAGCGCGTAAGGGGTAAAATCGTAAGGTCGGCGGCGAAGGAGAGCGCGCCAAAAAAAGAAAAAAAAAGAAAAAGAAGTAATCGTGATTGTAAATAAGCGGCAGAGAGAAGAGCATTTATATATTATTCGACGAAGAAAAAGGGAGAGAGAAAAAGAAGGAGAAACGTTAACGTGGTTATCACTCGTTTAAGGCGTGTAAAGAGAAAAATGTTGGCGGGGGTGGGGGAATAGAAGAGTGAACGTACGGCACAACGGAGCAAACGCAAGAGAAGAAGCGCGAAATACGAATGAGATTAGCTTAGATGTATATCGAGAAACAAAAAAAAAAAAAAACCTATCGCTCTTACAAGTGCATAACTGTTACTATCCCGTTAAGCCATTAAACGTTTAAGAAGTACGTGAATCGTGGAACCGCTAATCAAACGCTGCTTCTGCCGATGATTAACGGAAGTGAGAAAGAGAGAGAGAAAAACGAAATGGTGAAAAAGAACGAACCGACGGCTATCTTAAATTATAAATTACTATTGCGTACTTATTACAGCTAGATACTATTATTACTACTATCGTCACTGTTACAACCACCGAGATCGTTTCTAGACTAATCCAATCATTATTATTATTGCTACCACTACTCTTACTACTGTCTGAATATAGGGATATAGCGACGAGTATACCGACGCGTTTATATTATCAACGGAGTCTACGAAACGGTGCAACACGTTGTCCATAGTGTGTACATAGTCGACAGAGGGTAAGAAAGAGAATGAATGAAAGAAAGAAAGAAAGAAGAGACAAATTACGAATATTATACGAGCGTTCGGCGAAAATCGCTGATCCACTTGGCTAAGTTGTGCGTGAGATGATCAATATGAGAGGAAGACTCTGGCGCGAGGAAACCTCGAAGTGTAATAACAGTGACCGGTGTACACGGATGATGACGATGATGATTCGTGTGAATTGGTCAATCAATTGTGAGAGAGAGAAAGAAAATGTCAATCGTAAACACGGTGTATTTATCGAATTTCCAGGCGTTAAGATAAAAAAAAGGGCGCGATCGAGGATCGGCGACGAGCTCCGTGAAACGTCGAGGAACCGATCTCCCTCGATCCTCGCGCTCGTCGCGTATCCTACGATCGATCGAGTCGGAACGAAAGGATACTCGTTCGTTTGTGCAATAGCTTCGAAACGTTCTACGTTCGTTTCTTTCGTTGAACATATATATTTATTAGAATATAGCAGACACGCTCGTTCGTAACACGTCCCGTGTCTGTGTACATTGTTACAAATCTTTTTTGTTAATAACGCATTTACGTCCCCCCCTGATACGTTGTAAGTTGGCGTTTTTAAAAGAAAAATCGAGTCGCGAAGAGCCGAGCGTGTAAATATCACAGATGCGTTCCCGCGTGCATTGCGAAGCGACGAATATCTTCCGCCTCTTGGACGCTTAACGATCGAAGAGAAGAAGGCTCAACGAAAGGGTAGAGCAGGTTTCTGACAATACGAGGTCGTCGAATCGGGGAAAAAACGAAGCGTTTCTATTTCTCTTGCATCGATACGTATACGAGTATAAAACGAAGAGAAGAAAAAGTAAATAACGATGTTCGCGTAAAATAATGTTTAACGTTTACCAAGTGACACGGTGTATAACTCGAGTACTAATTTAAAGAAAAAAAAGCAGAAAAAAGAACGAGAGAGGATATAGAGAGAAAAACGCGGAGACGACCTGAAGGAGGCGAAGATATTTTGCGTGCAGCGCTTCTTATTTTGCAGACTGAACTAATTTCGTCACATTGTAGAACGAGAGACAGTGTATATAGACGTGAATGAGAGGGAGAGCGCAGGAGATGGAATACGGGAGAATCAATTATATTCGTCTGTTTCGTGGACAGACAGGATGAAAGGATACCGTGAGAAGTGGTATATACTTTAACCAAACACCGTGTAGTGAGAGTAATAATAAATTAAAAAAAGTATAGCGATAGTCGGCCGACGATTACGATTAATCTCGACGTTATCATTATTCTTGTCATTGTCATTATCATTACGATTATAATACCATCGTCACTGTGATTAGATCTATTTTTTTGCTCAACACGAATCGAATACACAGATTGGGAATGGGAAGACGGGGGGGGTTACCATTCTAACGGTATTATTGCTATTATTGCCATTATTACCACTATTGTCGTTACGTTCTCGTCATTATTACGATTATTATTGTTGCCGTTGATAAAGTTGTACGAATATATAAGTTCAATGACATGCTTTAAGTAAGTATAAATGTTACTCCGATTGAATAAAGGGTATTTATCGATGAATCCTCAAATTATTCTTGATTTTTTTTTAAATTAAAAACCAAAAGATTTAATACTCGTTTTATCAAATTTTTTTCTCTAAAGATAAACTTCTTACATTGTTTTCGGATATTCAGATTTTGATTTTCGAAGTACCCGATTCATAAGAAAATTTCTTTTCTATTTCATCCCTGCTCTGATTCAAATTTCCCGCCTTTACCGCGCAAGGATAAAATTTCACTGGAAAATTCCTGCTAGTTTACTTGGAAGAATGACATGACTTCTTACATTATTTTCAATGTACTCGATTCATAAGAAAATTTCTTTTCTATTTCATCCCTGCTCTGATTCAAATTTCCCGCCTTTACTGTGCAAGGATAAAATTTCACTGGAAAATTCCTGCTAGTTTACTTGGAAGAATGACACGAGTAACTGACGAGTTTTGTCGTGCGTGCATGTCTTTTTTTAGCCTGACTTTGCCCATATTAGACGTTCTGAACTTTTTCCAATTACAATCAAGCCTTGTTTACCTGGAGCGACTGTATCCAGTGATACGCTCACCTATGACCATATTCGAAGCTACCGGTTTCTTGTGGCACTTAACCTTATCGATGACATTTCTACGGTGAGACTTCTTTTAAATCAAACAACTCATGTTCTATTATTATCGAATTTACAAGGAACAGTGTATTTAACGAAAGGAAATAGGATAAAAGAAAAACTCAATTTTAGAAGTTACCTAATTTTATATTTGCATTTTCATTATAAAAAAAAGTCTTGTTTTACAAAGCGACGTCGTACTCGACGTAGTGACGTATCATAATATAATACCTGCATCATCGTATATATCACAATAAAATGGACGTGCGAATAACTTTCGCATGTGGTATGTACACGTGTAAAATGACAATCATCGAAATCATATGGCAAGCAAATAGTATTTCTTCTAATAAGCCGCGCGATTGTCTAAGTGATGAAATTCGGAACGTTTCTAATTCCGATTTTTAGGACTCCTACTTTTTTCCCCCTCCTTCTTCTTCTTCTTCTCGTTCGTATCTCCTTGAATTCCTCGACAAATAGTAAACGCTATCCTTCACGTTTAGAACGTGTACGGATGTACATATAAACGTACGAATTCACACTGTTTATCGACGACTTGTGTTTGCTATTTTAGACTCGCTCTAAATTAGCCAGACGAAATCGATAATCATGCTCGTACGGGGTTTTGTAGGCAAGTCTGCTCTAAATTACGACAGTTCTGGAACTTCTTATAGAGTCATGAGTATTTCGTGCACACATTTAGGCTCGTGCGTCTCGAACGAGGCGTTTTGCGGAAGGCACAATGTTCGTCACGTTTCCACTGACTCTCTCTTTCTCTCTCTCTCTCTCTTCGTTCTTCATTTTCTTGCAATATTCTTCATCCACATTACAGAATTCAGAATCCATCGATCAACGTAATTACGTTCCATCTTCGATCCTACTTTCGATTGTGTCGTTGGCGGTTGATTCAGTAACAAAAGCGGTGTCCCGTTTGGAGGACTGTCCGTTTGATTCTTGAACACAAATGTTTTTAGCCTACTTGAACGAGGTCCAGTTTTACAACGAACAAATTGTTCACCGTAAGTGGTACTTCGAGTGTATTCCCATATTGGCCGTGCTGTGGCAGCTATATAACAAATGACAGAGTCCTCTCACCCTCGTCGCACTTTTGTACTTGGTTAGTTCTTAATTGTATTGCAATACGCTGGACCTCCAGCACGCCGCAAGCCTCTTTTGTTGCGATCATAATTTCTGATGCCAAAGATCTCACCTGAAATGAATAAAAATTGATCGGTAAATAATCAGACACAAACCAAATACCTTATGAAAATTAATATAACAATTAGTTTAACTTTGAAAAGTACAAGATCTGTAATTGAAATTCAAACAAACCCTATAAGCCATAAATAACTAGTACCGCTATGTCGTGACGTCACGGAACTTTATAGAACAACCAATGACATCACTCGACACGAAACAAGAAATAGCATCGCATCACAGTTCTTTCCACGTATATATGAAATCGTCTGACTTCTTTTTACCCCCACTCTATCTATCACCTCCTGGTCAGACCAAGCGATTCACACAAGCGACTTATATACCAACGAAACCGCAAATCGAGTCACCGTTATTTTTACACTTCCCCTACCGAGAATCTTCCTTACGTCAGCGGTACGAGCAAACTTTTCATTCACGAGAAAGTATACACAAAGTGTAAATGAATTTTACCTCGCGTACGGTGGCGGCGGTGATGGGTTCGGGTCCCTAGCAACAATCTCCACGGTTCTAGGAACCATGTTGTGCACAGTTGGCAACGTTCCGCTGTTGTTCGGCCTAAGTAGATGACTAGGATTTAGCTTGATGGCATCATCGTAGCTAGGTGGCGCGTCTGTAACCGCCTCGTAGTCTGGTGGCTTCTGTCTGGATCCACTAGATGGTTCCTCGATAGAAATTACGTGAATCGGATCGTCGATCTGTAGCGAAAAGAATTATTGTATAAATCAGTGTCTGCTGAATCACGAAACAGGCGTATACAGCGTAAACTAAACTAAAAGATCGGTAAACCTGATAAATCGTTAGATATCAATGGTTTCGCAAGAACGAATTGTTAATTGCCGGATCGTCGATCTGTAGCGAAAAGAATTATTGTATAAATCAGTGTCTGCTGAATCACGAAACAAGCGTATACAGCGTAAACTAAACTAAAAGATCGGTAAACCTGATAAATCGTTAGATATCAATGGTTTCGCAAGAACAAATTGTTAATTGCTTCTCTTTGATAAATGACCTACTAATCCGGGACAAGTTTTATTACGTTACTACTTGACGACGACATTACACGACCGACCACAAGGATATTAACCCCGAAATGGTTATTCTTCTATATATATCGCGGCCTGTCTATAGATATCCACCTACGTGTTCGCCTCGACACTCTTTAGAACTGTATAGCTGGCCGGATCTAAGTCACGAAAGGGCGCGCGTTTACCGCAGAGTTACGTACGGCGGATACAGAACAGGATGAAAATAGCGCTGGTTATTCGAGGCTATAAAGAAAGCTTCGCGGAAAATTGCATAATCGTTTCGTCGGGCTGAACAGCAAGGTGAATGACTGAGAGCCGCGCCGATTCTCTTCACCAAAACCGTCTGCTTTTTCGCCCGGTGCAGCGTTTACTGCACCGTTTGCGGAATCGAGATTTTGCAACGCTGGTAACGGTCGTCTGAGCGCTGCTGGCATGGATTGCTGACTGGATTTCAATTTCTATCGCTTTTTTTACTCCGACAAATAATTGCAATTTTTCGTTCGTAACGAATGCTGTACTAATTAAGAGATATTTAAATTCTCATCATTTCTGCTTTCATGTTTGATATGGATTGTTGAAATTGTATGCGATAATTGATATTTGAGAATATGGTTATTATTGTAATTCCGTAGAATGTGTAGCTATAAAAATTTAATTACTTATTTAAATTTATAGCTGAATTATTAAAAATTTTCAGGTACGCTGCTACAAATATTCTTTTCCATGATTCTTGTTTGATCAATTAGCCGGCCAATTAAAATATACAATTAAGAAATAACGAGCCGTGACATGATTATTAAGTAGTTGAAACAAGTGGTAATTAGAATGCACGCATTAGTATGAATATTAAACATTGAAAGATCTATTCACAAAAGGTAAATGTTGCGAAATTAGACTTTCACAACTGATTATAGTATTTAACTAAGAACTGTGCGCACTCTGCCATTAACATAATGAATTAAAAATAAGCTTAACATGTATAAATATCTTTCGTTAGACTTTATATCTTGCATTGTTAATTCCTCTTACGGGAAAATTACAATAATCGTACAAATTCTTAAATCTCACATGAAATTTTCAACGTACACCTTGAACAAAGTTAACACCTATAACACCCTTTCCTCCGCGTCAATTGCAGCTGTGACATGGTACAGTAATCGAAGGATGGCCCTCGATAAATATAGATACGTGCTTCCGGGTGAATATCCTTACGGCAGTAGATAAGTGCACTGTAACTACCAGCGACCTCCTTTATGCATCGAGCTGCAGACAGACCTTTGCATTTCTATTGTTTCCCCGCGTGCAACGAAAAGAGGAACGGCTGCTATTCTAAGCCACATGTCTATACTACGCCTACATACCGTTTTAGAAACAAAACGAGAAGAAAGAAAAAAAAAAGTAACGGAAGAGGACGAAGAACTAGAAAAAGGGAGAACGTTCGCGAGGAAACATTTTTTTTACGCGACCAAGATTCCGAGCACAATGTGAAAGCGTACACACAATAGCGCGGAAATGACAGAAGGGTGACGTTACCGACGGAGATGTGATAAAATCGCAGAAAGATGAGAAAGAACACGTGATAGAAACCTGCGTTAAACGACAATCAGAATTCCGATCGACTGGTTACCGGGATTTACGTGACTCTTGTGAAAAAGAAAATGCGACCGTATCTACGGTACCGTTTATAATTGTTCGAACGATCGGGAATTTTCAGTTCTACTCGACGTTCTTTCAGGTAGGAATTTGATTCCGGAATACATTTGTAGGTTATGTTTTACTGGTTTCAAGATTATATCAGATCTTTTAATTCACCTATTATACGCTTGAAGAAACATAATTCATTCTGCAATGCTTTACTTTCTATTACATGTATGTAGGTGTATATTGTCTGAGAGTATACATATACTGCAAACGAAATAGTCGAACAGAATATTCTCAGAGTAATAATCTTGATAATTTCTGTGAATAAGATGAGTAATTCATTTTTACTTATATCATAACCGAGAATATTTAAACATAATATTGTGACGCAAACTTCATTAAACTTTACAAGAATGAGCAGAAAATTTCACCAAATATTAAATATTGACAAAACTAATACTAAAAAAATCTCTCGAATAATTAAGAATCATACTATCTACACATCGCACATCCGCAAAAAAATTATTACAACCTCAAAATATAAAATGTTTTAGGAGAAAATTAGTTTTTTCGAAAGTGACATAATTACAGCACTTGAACTATTACAATTCAACTTCTAATGGCAAATCTGTGTATCAGAAAATATTCCAAGCGAGAAAATAACCTAAAAAATTTTTGACTCGTGATACTTTTCTCGCAGAGGAGCGATGTGATAGAACGAAGTAAAAGTAGTCACGGAATTCGTCAATTTTGATGGTCCAACGTTCACCCATTGAACCATAAACGCGATGCATAAATTTTCACTCTCAACGAGACTGGTCTGTGCCAAGAGTTCATAACAATTAACGTCTCTTTACGAAACGCCACGTGGCTCGTGTTAACCATTACGGTTTTAGGGGCTACCGAGCGATTTACGGGTCGAGGAAAGGCCGAGGCAACAGTTTCGATCGAAGTATATTATTTTTATCTCGTAGCCTGTTTACAAATGTCGGTAATCGCGCCTCCGTTATACACTACTACACGCGCTATAGACGATCGGTTCGCGGTCTATAATAGGGGGTTGACCCGGATCGATCTGAAAAACTCTCTAATCTCCGGAGGCTTCAATCAAGAACAACCTTTTGAAACCCTTAAACAGCATCGAACGTTTACCGCTGGTAAATCGTACGGTTAGCCGGAAAAAAGTGACAACTTTTATCAACATGTGAAATGGTCTCGCAAGACCATTTAATTACTCTGTCAGTCACTTAATAGTAGTAATCGCCTAAAAATTCGGTTTCGTCTGTTTCTGAGAATTCAGAGTAGTCATGAAGTATGCAGATATCATGAATGTTCTTTAAACTTCGAGTACGAAATTATTACTTAACTTGTGTGTTCTAACTTAATGCTAGTAATAGTAATAGCCTTAAAAATTCGATTTTGTCTGTTTCTAAGAATTTCGAGTAATCGTGAAGTATGCAGATATCATAAATGTTCTTCAAACTTTGAATACGAAATTACTACTCAATTTATGAGCTGTAATTTATTGTTAGTTTATAGTCATCGCCTTAAAAATTTCGATTTTATCTGTTCCGAAGAATTTCGAGTAATCGTGAAACCTGCAGATATCACGAATGTTCTTTAAACTTTGAGTATGAAACGAGTTTCGAAATTTCTTTTGTAAATGATAGTTTATTGAAATATACTGCAGGTTTTGTTTGAACACCGGGTCTGGTTAGTACACGTGGCTACTTCTTAAGTTGCTTGAAATATAGAGGCGTTGTATGACGTAAAGGAAGACGCGTCATGTTCAGCTTGAACCCTTTTGAAAGAGTATTCGAAATTGTTTTGCTTCGGTTAATGAAGTAAAGACGCGCAATTCTATTCAATTTACCGTGTTAACTCTGAAACAGTAATTAGTCAAAGGCTAATTAGAAGTGTACGTTACAGTACATTTTGTTAAATTTTCGTTAACTTAACCTTTGGTAAACAAACTGGGTCGTTTAGGCCCAAATCAAATTTTCTTACTGTTCCAGTCTTTCAAAAAACCTAAAAAAAAATTCTGGGATACTTATCGAAGTCTCCACTGCGTTATACAATTTTTCGTTAAATCAAATGCTATAAATTTCTCTCAGTAGGAATAAAATTTCATTTCGAAGCAATGCAAGAGCGACGTCTTACTTGGGTCATTAATGACCCAGATTGCTCAGTTAAGAAATAGTTACATGTACAAATAGTAACAGAAACAACTTGTTCAATCGATCATAAAAATTGCAAAATGTGAAGAGAGAGGGGGAAATAAGAAGATTGATCTGATTCCTAAACTGGAATGTTGCATTTCAACCAATTAAGTTTTCTAAATAAACGTCTAGAAACCTGTTTTCAATGTCTACGTATGATGAATCTATTCGCCGGACCGGTTTTCGATTAAGCGAAAAAGGTGAAAAAGAAACGTTTATCGCTGTCGAGGTTTAGAAAAATGAAGACTTACCTGTGCTGTGATCGGATGATTTGTGTGTTGTGTGTGCATGGTTGCCCTACTTGGCGGTGCGTGCAGCCAACAACACATTGCGGCACATATGAGAAGAGCGCCTGCGATTATGCAAGCAACACCGACATATCGTACCGGTTCGACGTAGTTCTCCGCGAGGCCTAACCAGTTTATCAGTGCTCCAACGCAAAGGAGAACCATCCCGTACCTGTACGGACGCTGCGAACGCCGTGATTCCTCCAAGGACATTGCTGAAATCGCAAACAGAGATCAGTTTTACAGCTCCTGCTTCGAGGCATTAAGCAGATTTCATTTCTGCCGGGAGTATTTCGGTCACTCGACGCGTGGCTCGAGGAAAAATGTTGCGGGAAAGATTCTGACTTTCCTGATTATCGTTGTCCACTTTTGTCGCATTTTGTGAGCATTGCTTTGCACGCGTGTTTAACTAATGAGAGCGTTCGATTGAGATTTCATTTGAATTGGTCGCGATTGAATCATCGAGACGCATTGAAATTTGGAAGTATTTAGGGAAGTGTCTTTGAGGTGTGAAATGCAGATTTGCAAAGCCTAAATTTGAGTTCAAATTTGAAATTTTGAAATTTAAATTTCAACGATATGAATTTATGAAACTTAAATTGAAATTTCTGAAATTTCTATTTGAATTTTTGAAATTTAAATTCGTGTT